ACGAGCAGTATGATCTGCCCGGCTTGCAGGCACCTGTTTAACTGGGGACCCAAAATAGGGTCAGCAAGACTATGCCTCTGGTCTTCAAACCAAGTGCTATGTCTTCCATAACATTGTAGTAAAAAGCTAATGATTTCTTTTAAGGACAATAGTTTTACAAAACCTGGGTACTCGAAAGTCAGAAAAATATCAAAATTAAAGTTGGTTTTGGCAACCTAAGTAATACCTCTCTATACATGTGTTTTAAGATGTTGATTTCAATTTTCATTTCTGCTTACTGTTTCTCAAATAACTGAAAGTTACACAGCTTTATTTTTTGCCGTTGATGGTGTCAGACAGGCATTAAATCTGACAAGTACTGCTGCGATTCAAACTGAAAACACAGAATTTTCGATTGCAAAATGACTGGCATTAGGAAATTAAAATGCAGCATAGTTCATACCAAACATGGACAGTTGTTGCTGTTGCCTTAGAGTAGCTTTTTTCAGGTAAAAATCCGACACTAACCCCATTTATGTCTTCAGTGAACTTCCATCTTCAGTTATCTCAATTCAATCTGTAACAAATTACGTTTTTTCCTTAGCATTACATCTTCTAATGGCTGTACTCACAACCATTAAAGGAACCTCAAAGTTCCCAGCCTAAGTCAGTTGAGTTCCTAGAAAGCTAATTTTTTATTTGGCTTTTCTTTGCCCAAAAAGTCACACAAAGAGGCTTGGGACTAACACATTTGCTGACAAGCCAAACCAGAAAGCATAGAAGTAAAACTGAAGTTGGACAGCAAAAGAGCTAAAAAATGTGAAATTTAACAAAGCAACCCCTGATTTGGGATCAGAATTCATATTGATTTTTGTAAAAGGAAAAAATATACATCTGCTTTTTTCTTCTTTCTCCTTTTTAAACCAATTCATCACCATGCTTTGGGCAGAGAGCTATTCCAACTCAAGGAATAGTGGGAAGACATCTCTAATACTTCAACTATCCCGAGATTCAGAGGCACGTTCCGCAGTCCCACCCCAGAGTTAGTGTTTTATTTAAACTGCTGCCAAAACATAAATATGCAGACCAGCTCCAATGGAAGGATTAAAACAAAAAGTAAGGTGCACAACCAGCAGCCAAAGCATCCATAATTAAGTTTAAATGCACATTTTTTTCCCCTTTGGGGATTGGCCTCATCAATGAAAACACTGAAGTTACAAGCGCTCTGATATAAACATAAGAAGATTCCCATACATTTTTGGGGAAGACTCTCCTTGAGCACAGAACACATTTCCCTGACAGTCAACAAACTTGGTGCTGTCTGACACAGGTCAGGGTAAGGCCTGTTAAAACGTAAGGTTTGTTGCATGGCGGTTGAAGATTTGCATTTGGGCTGCTACTTCTAAGGCAATAGGTAACCTGGGATATCAAGGGTACTGCAAAATAACCTTGAGAAGTGAAACCTTCTAATCGTATGGCTTAACCCTTTGAATCTGAATTACTTCTAGAGACGCCTAGAGCTTAGGAAGGCACAGTAAAACTACATGTAGATAAACAATGCCATTAAACTGACTTTTAATATACCTTTAAACAGTATATTTATTTCTTCAGTGTAGTTATACACACATGCACTTTGTTTGCAGAAATTACACTATTAAAATTTAAATGTTTAACTTCCATATCTCACTGATTTATGGTAGAGGACAATGTCCCAAAATTGGTGATTTAGGGCATAAATGACAAAAAAAAAGTGTATCTTTTGCCAAAAGTTACTGTATAAGCATACTGGAAGGATGATGTTCCAGAATCAGTGATTTGGGGCACATGTGATAAGGAAAAAAACACCCCAAACTCTTTCCCAAATGCTGCTGGAGGTATATCATTGACCTAGCTAGATATTTTTAGAACATAAGTCAGCTAAACTTCAAAGTCTGCTTTCCTGGGATATGAGGATGAATTGAACACAGAGTCTTTTCATCCTCTTTCAAGCTCATTAATCTTGTTACTGAATATAGCACTTCTTAAAAAATAATATTTCAATACTAAATTTAAAGATAAATCATCCATTAAAGAGACATGCAAATACACACTGAGACATCAGGATTATTTTAGCATCTAATGCAGAAAACATCGCTATGTTCTCATGCTGTACACTGGCTACTGAATAAAACATGGAAGTCTGCCAGGTACACAGCACAGCTAGGAATTGCACCCCCTGTAATTCTGTGCTGGTTTTAAACCTAAGTTGTAATTTTTTAAGATTAATAAAAGAGCCAATGTGAAAAATGACATTTTCATATTCATCCACGCTTCCCATAGTGAGTGATACAACAGCTGCTTATTAGATGACAAAACATTTTCCACCTACCATTCCTACAGCTTTTCTGCCCCTGCTATGAAAGAGCAACGCTTATGACTTTTCATTTTTCAGACCCTCAGCTCAACTTTTATTTTTCTGGTCTTTCTCATAGACTGAAATTTCTCTCGTAGCACAGACCACATGGAAAACCATCTCTTTTAAAGAAAGGACAAGTCCTCTGTGTGCTTAACGTAGAGGCAGACGCACACAGCTTTCGGGTACCGCAGGGACTCGGAGGGGCTAAACCTCACCTGCATGACTTTGGCTCTTGCTCTCTGGGCGCTTCTCAGCGTTTTTGGAGGCTGAGGGCCAGCCATGGGGAACCGCCGGCCACGCGGACCGGAGATTTAGGCTGTCATTACCCAACAGGCTGAGCACAATGATGCTGACACACAGTGACAAACCCAAGATTACCTCCCCTGTTGCAGCCTAGCCACCGAGTGGAAGGCACAGAGAGCTCGCGAGCATTGCATGGTGTAAAACCGGTCCCTGCTACACGTGGGATTCACACCTAGCAAAGCAGGCTTTCTTACGCACAGCTCCCTTCTGGGCAGAGGAACGAGTGAACTTTTCCCCCTCAGCAAAAGCCCTCTCTCCTTCTAATGAGGAAGGTAACCAACCCACCCGGCAAAAGAGCTCTGTGAAAGCGTTTTTATTTTGTTTCCGAGGGCATTAGCATTGCAGGTCAGAGTTGAAACTCATATGTCATTTGAGGGGACAGTGATGGCACAACGCTTCTACGCGGCGATCTGCTTATTTCCTACTTCAGGGCAGCAGAAATCCCTGATGCTTGGTATGGCCCAGCACATTGCAGTGGGGCAAGACGGGTGGGGGAGACTTTTTTAAATAATTGATACCATAATCTCACAGGAACAATTAACCAGGATTGTGGGGGCAGGCGGGGAAGGGGGTGCGTGTGTGATTTTCAGGTGAGAAAAGCTGCATTTCAGCACAGCCGTGCTGCAGTTCTGCGATGAACCCCAGCAAGAGGGGGTTCCTCCTGACCCATCACTGTTCCGTGCCGCTGGAGCCAGCGGGGTCGTTCGCAGGGACGGCACCCACGCCTGCACACGCGCTCACGCAGCCCAGCCACACTGGTAACCCCAGGGTGCGTGCCCCCCCCCGCTCACTGGTGTGGGCTCAGGATACAAACCACCAGGCACACAGGTGCCCACCATCATCACCCGTGAGACCGCGGCCCTGGGACAAGCACAGCACGTAACCAGATGCAGCAAAGCATCCTCAGGCCCAGAAAAGCACAGGGAGAATTTTCTCCATGGACAACATCGTCTTTGGGTCACCTTGGCTGACTGGAAGGACAAGTTTTTGAAAGCTTCGAAAGAAAAACTAGAGTCTGTCAAGTCTTCATTGTTCAGTGACTCAGTCAGCCTAACACTGTACGTACGCCACGGTGTTGTAAAGAAGCTGGAACAGTGAACGTTTGCTATTCCTGGTTCCTTTGGTGTTCCCGTATTCATCAATCATGGCGTGGGTTACCTCAAAAAAGAAGCTATCGCTATTCATGCGCCTTCTCCTAAATTAATAGCTTATAGATAATTATAGGCCTTGATTGTTTGACTGCTTTAGCGTTGAGCAACAGATCTCTTTTTTGCTTCAAAACCCGTTTTCTGTTAAAAGGAAAAACTGGCACGGTTAGACGTAGGGGTTTAATCTACAAAATGATATATTTCTCTTACTCAACTTTAAAAACAAACAGTAGTAAAAAATGACACATAGCACCAGCCACTCAAGCAAACAGAAGAGCGCAAATAAATCTCAATCTTCTGTCGATTGTTACCAGCACGTCTCTGCTGCCCTGGTTTCTCAGGGCGCAGCTCGGCGTTCTAGTAAATTGGTGGAGACTTTTTCTGGTCAGCGCAAAGTTTCAGGCCGAACTTCCTCGTTGCTGGAAGAACGCAGGCAGGCAGCAGGTGCACGCGGGCTTGAGAAATGGTAAAAAGGGGTGGTGGTTGGGGGGGAAAGCAACTTTTTCTGCCTGTTAGGGGTCAGATTAACTAGGAGCCTATAAACAACCAGGTAGCCAAAAAATATATATTATGCTGTTAAGCGTTTTATATAAACTTGCTCGCCCGT